AACAGTGATGGCAATATAATTGTTTGTTGTTCAGCAGAACAGTGTCCAGTATGTTGGCTTTTATACTTTGTTGTGTTTGAAAATAAAAGTTGGGCTGATTTTAACATCGTTACAAAAAGTGTTAATTATTTTTAATCATATTCAGGTTACCACAAATTGTTTTTTCATTTAGTTGAACTTGAAATGTTTGTCAGTAGGTAAACAATTAGTATTGTACAGTCAGTATCAAGTTATTCTTAATACTGTAGACTTGCACTGTATAAGTTGTCCTAACAGTCATCTTAAGTAAGCTTTACTTAGTTTTGTTCAGGCAACGAGTTTCCTTAATTTTTTTTGAGTTCTGCGAACTAACAAGGCTGTATAGTGTACTCAAAATGAGTAAGTTGCCCTAACTTGGTCATCTTACGTAAACTTGATCCAATTTTCTTGAGTTCTGGGAACAAATGAGCTTGTACAGAGTACTCAAAATAAATAAGTTGTTCTAATTTAGTCATTTTTAGCTAAGCTTTACTCAATTTTTTTGAGGCAACGAGTTTCCTCAATTTTTTTGAGTTCTGGGAACTAATTAGATTTTACAGTGTGGACCTTGCTTTGTGCACTGGTAAAGAGGCAAACTACAAACTGTTTACACAATGCTTGGAGCATAAAATTGTCCAAAATGTCTTCGTATGTTGAAGCTTTAAAAGCTTCTTTCACTGGAACTAACTCCTGAAAAATAACTCTACACATAACTCCCCAACAATAAAACTACAATTGGCACTGTGCAGTCAGACAAGTACCATTTTCCTGGCAATGACCAAACCTAGACTCGTCCTTTGGATTGCCAGACACAGAAGTGTGATCGTGACTGTAGAGAACACATCTCCACTCCTCTAGAGCAGCGGTCCCCAACCTTTTTTTGCGCCACGGACCGGTTTATGCCCGACAATATTTTCATGGACCGGCCTTTAAGGTGTTGCGGATAAATACAACAAAATAAAACTAGTACCGGTAGAAGATTTATTCATAACACACGTGAAAAGACCCAGGAAAACCAAGTAAACGATAAAAACGATAACAAAATAACTCTGAAAACCGATAAAAACCCTGAAAACTATATATTTCACACCTGAGCCTCAACTCTCGCAGCCCGGTACCAAACGACCGGGGGTTGGGGACCGCTGCTCTAGAGTACAGTGGTGGCATGCTTTAGACCACGGATGCAGGTATGGTATGAATACAGCTGCTGCCAAGGAAATCCATTGCTTGAGGCTCTCTACACACTGTTCTTGAGCTAATCTGAAGGCCACATGGAGTTTGGAAGTCTGTAGCAATTGATTCTGCAGAAAGTAGGTGACTTATGTGCACCAGACCCCCACTTTGTGATCTGTTTGTTATAATATTATATACTATATATATATTAATGTTATAAAATTTGTTATAATATTACTACCTAGGGCTGCCACGATTAGTCGACTAGTCACGATTACGTCGACTATCAAAATTGTCGATGACTGATTTAATAGTCGACGCGTCGTTTGAAGCTTTGTAAGATCACAAAAGACGCAGGAATGAGTAGTAGGATTTAAGGGTGTAATAACGGACTGAAACAGAAGATGGCAGCACTGCATGTACAAGGATGCCAGCTGCTGTTAAACCCTGAAGAAGAAGCTGTGTCACAGAATTCATAGCGCGGCCCTGCTCAGTTTCCAACAATGGCGGCAGCTAGTTAGTTTTATTATTATTCTTATTATTCTTTCTGGGTCACAAAATAAACTTTTAACATATTTTCAGGCGAGAATGTAGCTGTGTAAACCTCAAATATCAGCTCAGTTTATCAAGACACCACATATTTTCAAAAGCGCTCTGACGTTTTCGGAGACGCATAGCTAGCCGGGGGCTAGGCTCACTAGAGCCCGTGAGAACACCGGACTGCCAACAAATCGTTTTCAAACCCACCGCCGTCTTTCGCTACTCAGGTTAAATATATATAAGTCAATTAGATAACTTAAAAATGTTATTGTTTGGCTTTTTTTTGTATTTTATTTGTTCCTGAGTAAATCGGTTTGGCTGAGATTAAAGTTATAGTTTTTACACAGATGGATAAACGTCAAGCAGACAACTGATTATCAGAAGTGTGAGATGCTCCAGAATATACTCCGGTGTCCTGTTATATTTTAGATAGCAAGGAGTTTATTAAACTTCACCGAAACAATCTGCAAATTTCATTAAAATTTAATAAACTATCATCTTGTCTTTATTTTTAGTTAGCACAGACCTTACACACTTAAAGCTGTAAGCTAATGATAGTTATATAAGAACAGATGCATGCTTGTGCAGTAAGCTGTACGTTTTAGGTCCAATGGATGCATGATCTGATTAGTCAACTAATCGCAAAAATAATCGGTGACTAGTCGACTATCAAAATAATCGTTTGTGGCAGCCCTATTACTAACACATGACTGTGGAATATTTAGTTGTCATGGTCCGGGTGAGTGCTGGGATTTTCCACTGGAGCGTGGTCACCACCCCTGGGCGGAGTCACCCTGCACTTGCATTACCACACACCTGCGAGCAACTGAGCTGCCGGCATTTAAGACCAGCATTCACCACTACTTGCCGCCAAGTGATATGCTAACCTCAGTTAGTGTCATCCGTCACAGGTCTTGTTAAATTTTAGAGGTCGTTATTCTGCCCTCATTAGGGTGGTTTCTAGCTTGACAGATAGCTAACAGGGCCACAATAAACATCCGGGAGTCCGGAAATCCCATAGACGGGCTAACGTGTTAGCATCGCGGCCATTTCTCACACAAAACTCTAAACTGCTACGCATAACTATCGCGGGAAAGCTTACACAACATATAGCAACTACTTACAGGCATGTGCTCTCT